TCGCTGGGGGTGGGGGGACACACTTAACTGTTTTTCTTCACGTTCGACAACTCACAGTTTCAGCCGCTCTTTTTCTTTTTCATCGTTTGGGCGCTTCATCACTCGGGTGACATCAGGTTGCTCCGCTAAACCCCGTAAATGGGGTCGCTCACGCAGCAAGGTCCATTGGGGCAGGGCATGGCGAGAGCCTCGACTTCCGACCGCTTGGCCGAGAAAGAGGCTCCCCCCAGTACGCCCTAACGCGCCCCGGATCCGAGTCCCTCTCATCCTGAGGGGCTCGTTCGGGTCTCCGCTCGCGCGGATTCCCTCCTCCACCGCGGGCGGGCGAGACGACCTCGGGAGCGACCCGAGGATGCGTCCGCCATTCGCGGGAGCCAAACCGGAAGCCTCCACTATTAGCAATGTTTTTGAAACGGGTTCAGTCTGAACGGATCTATCTTCCAAGCAGCAATATCAAGTGCTCTTTTCTCCTCCCACCCATTATTTGGCATTCGCAAACATTTTGGGGACTGGTCGGGGGTGCACTGGGTTTGTTAAACAGCTGGGTCAGTATTTCTGGGAACCTTATGTGAAGGATCAGCCAAGATTTTACTGTTGCGATGGGTGCTCACACGTTCGAATTTTGGTTGCAGTGTGATTGCTCCCAGGATAGAAACGTCTGAGTCCATTGTCTAGATGATGTACAAACAAGACCTTTCCCATCATTTTACAACCCAGGAATATCCTGCAATTACCCCAATTTCCCCAAATGTTACATGGGAAGAATTAAATCTCATTAGAGCCTCATAGAGGAGAAACTCTTGGTCTGCCAAGCTGCTGCCCTATCTTCTGGCATGCTTTCTCTTAGGATAAAGATACCTTTTTTAATGTGTCAACTGGTATAGCTTTCCTACACAGGATCCCATTGGCCAAGTTGAACAGATAAAATCATCACGTCATGGAAGTGAATATGTATCAGGATGTGTGTTCTTATTGTATCTCCAAAGCTACCCAGTCTTCCATTTTATGCTTTCCAGCCTGGGACTAATCCCCATTGAACTGGTAAATTTGCATAAGATTGGGTTCGTGGAAGCAAGGTCTCGTACAGGGGTGCAAGGTCTCGTACAGGGGTGGCCAAACTTGCTCAACGTAAGAGCCACATAGAATAAACACCAGATGTTTGAGAGCTGCAACAACTATCACACACACCTTTTTTATTTAAAAATATGCAAATTTGCTTTTTATTAACATTAAATGAGACTGCCAAAAATCAAAATGGAAGGGGTAAAACAGATATTGATAATGATATTTATTTGTCCAATGATACTTGTTTGTTAATTATATGTACTTGTCTAAGAGAGAGAGAAAAAGAGAGAGGTGGAAAGAAAGAATGAAAGAGGTGGAAAGAAAGAGAGAAAGAAAGAGAGCCAGAGAACCAAGAAAGCAAATAGATGGGAGGGAGGGAGGGAGGGAGGTATGCCTCCCCCTCACTTCCCCAGCTACCCTGCTGGGAGCTGCACAATATGTGTGAAAGAACCACATGTGGCTCCTGAGCCGCAGTTTGGCCACCCCTGGTCTTGTAGGTACTGGGCAGAACAGGGTTTTTGAATGAGATGAAAAATAAGACCTTGTTAAGTCAATAGGTAGATATTCATAATTTGAATATACAGGAGGGACACACCTGGAGGGACCCTTCCCCCCCCCCAGAGCCATGGAGCGGTCCTATGCAGCAGGCCAGTTGCCTAGGAGCTGTTCGGCAGAGCTGGCAGCTGACCACTCATGGGAGGCTGAGGAGGAAGGTGGCATCCAAGGATGACATCAGCTGGTAGCTTGGGCTGCCAGAAGCCAGAGGCATCAAGCTGAAGAGGCTAGTGGGGCATACATGCACCTGAACACACAGGAGAACAGTGGCTGGGGTGGGAAGGCGATTGCCCTGTGGCCAGTTCCAGTTAAATGCCTGATAACAAAGCCAACCTAGCAGTTCGAAAGCAAGAAATTGCAAGTAGATAAATAGGTACCCCTTTGGTGGGAAGGTAACAGCGTTCCGTGCACCTTGGTGTTTAGTCATGCCGGCCGCATGACCACAGAAACATCTTCGGACAGCGCTGGCTCTTCGGCTTGGAAACGGAGATGAGCACCACCCCCTAGAGTCAGATTCGACTGGCTTTCGAGCAAGGGAAACCTTTGCCTTTACCTAACAAAGCTTTTACTGTATTTGTAATCTGAATTCAGTGAAGAACTCAAGTAATTAGTATGCATGAAATGGGGGGGGGGAGTAATGAAGTCAACCGCACATGTCCATGAGATGACCCTGGTGAGGGAGAGGATGGTGCTTTCTAGAACCAGTAGCTGAATTCCAGTGCCTGGATTATGCCCATAATTGTCTAATAGCAATAGCTGGCCTTCCCATGGGGATCAAAAAATTCACAAGGCCTAGGGTATGTTTTTCTGCAAATCGGGGAATTCATAAAAAATATGACAACCTAAAATAACTGGATTCCCCAAAGCAACTTCCTTGAGGCCAAAGTGATTCTACTAAAGGCAGCAGCAGCTCTGGCATATCCAGACAAGGGCAGTTCTAGTGGCAGACTGTAGTAGCCATGTGGTAAATCTTTCAGTCCCACGTCTCCATCCAATAATATTTATGCCACACAGACATTGCACTGATACTGAGTGATTGCTAAGTGCTCAAGCAAATGCCCCCTTTCTGGCATTTGAGTGTGTCTGCAAACTTCACGGTGGCCCCATAAACAAAAAATGCATTCAGTGTCCAGGCCTGGCCTGAAAGGTCACACTATTTCAGTATTTCAGTATTTATGTTAGTCTGGGAATTCGATCACTGGGTGACTTGGTGCCTGTGGAGGCTACCTGGGGATCATCGTGCTACAGAACGTTGCAATGCATCCTTCAAGTTTCTTCTTCTTCTTCAGGGAAAGGAGAATCCCTGGGAATCTCTGATGTGGTCCAGATGGAGAGCTTGTCATTTTGGTCATTTGATTCCCTCCTGCTATTGGGAAAGTATAGGGTTTGGATTCATGTAAGTTCCTGAACTGGTCAATAAAGCAAATTTTCAAACAAAAGTACTCTATTGGTGCATTCCTTAAAAAAACAAAAAAAACCCAAAAATGTTAAGCGGGAGAAAAATTAATGGGTCTGGCTGTGTGAGGGTGATTTTTTAACATCATTGTTCCATGAGTTCTGCTGGAGATTGCTGTAACTGCCCACAACAATTATCCGTGTTGCAATTATATATGTGTGTGTGTGTGTGTGTATAATATAATTTAATAATATAATATAATAATAGTAATAATCATATAATAATATAATATGATAGAATAATATAATATAATAATATAATATAATAAATATAATAATAAAATAATATAATAAAGTTCAAAACTGCCTTGCTGAGAAAGAGCACGGTGACCTTGTGTCAGAACCCACAGCCAACAACTAAGTACATGCATTCAGGAACGGTTATACTTTTATTGCAGAGTTATAGATGCAGTAACATAGGCACTGTTAAGGATGGCGGCGACCCCATGGGCATAATAGGATATAGAGTATTTGTATGCCCCCCCCACAGCACTGGCCAATTAGGCACCCTCCCGCGCATGGGATAAGGCTTAGAGACCGTTAGGTAGCTGAAGCTGAGAACGAACACTCTCCCACGACACCTAGGGAAAACCCAGACACCACAACACCCTCCTGAACATCTGTATAGATAAGCGTTTCGGTGCACAGCAGAGAAAGCACAGAAAGGAATGCAGTAGCAATTAACCTGAAAGGAAAGCAATAGCAATTAACCAGATACAGACCAGACTCCCCAACCTTCATGGCGGCATAGCTGACACCTTGTACAGGCTAGATAACACCAGCCGCAGAGGGGGGGGAGAAGCTGGCTTTCCAATTAGCCACATTCCTTTCAGTTAGGCCCATGATTTACACATGTGGGAAAGGGGCCGAGCCTAGCTGCAGATCGGCTCAGTTCCTTCCTCTCAGGTCAGACCACTGCTTATGTCACCTGTTCATCCATTGGTTCAACACTTTGGCTCTGTGTCATCACTGAGAGATCTTATCGGTTCATAGGCCTGGAACCACAAGGGCCTTTTACCCATAAAGACGTAAAACTCTAGTTTAATCTCCGCTTGATGGCGGCTGCCTGAGAGCTAGCTGTGTAGACATCTTGCTCACTTTGGCCATCTTGGATACTTGCTTGCATGGGCCCTTCAGCTCTGGTCTGCAGTGACTCGGGCGTAGAGCCACTTTGGATCCCAGGAACTTCCATCTGAGAATGGGCTCTATCTTGTAACTTGGAGCCAACATATTACAGTTTTAGTTAGCCTTTAAAACTCTAGCTTTGTTGTTTTATCCTCACAGTCTTTTCCAAGTATTTGTGCACCTTAATAAAATATATATTTTAATTTACTTTTGTGGTGAATTGCTTTGACAGCCCTCAGCCTAAATCCAGAGCCTTGACTGGCAGACAACCGACTACTGTAATTGTCTTTTGTGAGACACTCCTGTGAGCCTACCTCACAGGGTGGACTTTCTGGTTTAGACCCAGGAAGGTTAGAGGCTTCGCCCTTTGGCTTCTGACTGTCGGGTTAGTTAAAGGGGCTGGTGGCAGACTACCAAGCTGGTGTGTGAACAGTCACATCCCAGGGTTTTGTAATTTTTTGTTACAGCCCTGTATCAAAAGGCATTTGGCCCGGTCTGGGCTAGGTGACCTTTCGGCATAGCCTACCTCACAGGATTGTTGTGAGGACAAAATAGAGGAGGGGAGAATGATGTAAGCCACTTCCAATTCCCATTGGGGAGAAAGGCTGGTACAAATGCCAGTAGCTCACAAGGTAGAATTTCTGCTCACAAGACTCCACAGCTTAGAGGGAACATTGGCCCTGTACCAAAAGGTGCTTGGCCTGGGCTGGGCTAGGTGACCCTTTGACACCTCCCTCCCCTTTTACAATATTCTTTGCCGACTTAAAGACTGGCTGTTCATTGTTTTGATTCTCAATTAGGTCCTGATGTCCCTGCATGAAATGTTCCCTGCAGTGCATGCGGCAGAAATGGCTGTCCAGAGAAATCCCCATTCTTGGGAGGCCTGGCAGACTTTGGGACGTGCTCAACTTGGATTAGGAGAAATCACATTGGTAAGTGCATACTGCCCCCCCCTCCAATAAATGCCACTGTCGCCTTCAGAATTCTGTATACCAGCATTACTATATACATGTCAGCAAGCTGTCAAAAGCAATTTGTTTTTGTTTTAAGGAATGCAAGACAAGGATTTTGATCAGAATCTCTGTTCCTCAGCAATCGTGTATTGCTTAGCTAACAACCACGTCAAGAGTTTGTCCAGCATAAGTCTCCTGTCCAGGTTGTGCAGTGCACACCTTCCCCTTGTGACTTGCAATGCATGAGATTGCTTGTCCCCTCTCAAGAGAACCAGGCAGTATATATAAAAAAAGAAGCTTAAATTACTGGGGTAATTTTTTTTCACTTTTATTTTAAAGCAGCCTGGAGCTTTTGGGCTCTGACTGTTTTTATGGGAGAGCAGAAGAAGAAGAGGAGGAGAGGAGATCGGATTTATACCCCGCCCTTCACTACCCAAAGGTGTCTCAGAGCGGCTTACAAACTCCTTTCCCTTCTCCTCCCCACAACAGACACCCTGTGAGGTAGGTGGGGCTGAGAGAGCTCTGACAGAAACTGCTCTTTTTCAAGAACAGCTCTTGTTAGAGCTATGGCTTGCCCAAGGTCATCCAGCCAGGTGCAAGTGGAGGAGTGGGGAATCAAGCCTGGTTCTCCCAGATTAGAGTTGGCGCACTTAACCACTACACCAAAATAGCTTCAACAGAAGCAGTTGCTCTGCTGAGTCTCTCTTTCAGACCACTCAGGAAAAGCCCACTGGGCTTTAAGGAAGTGTTTTGCTTCGGGCTTGCTTGTATATTGCAGATAGAAATGACTGTGGAGGGATTTTTTTCTTCCATATATCTGCTTCAGACAGCAGACAGACAGAACAGACAAAATGCATTGTACTTTAGCAGAATGGGAATTACCTGGAGACGCAACGCTTGCTTAAAAGACATCGTTCCTTCTGATTTTTCTTGGTTTTAGATAGAGATCAGCACTGCACCTTGGGATTTTCATTCCGTTTCGTAACCACAGTTGACTCAGCCCTTGGGGTCCATTTGCTTATGGGTAAACTAGCTAAACTAGCTAAATTAGCAATTTTGTTTATGGGTAAAGTAGCTGAAACAGAAACATACATATTGTTACACATCTGTTTGCATTGACGCTGCTGTGGATTGGAATTAATGATCTGAAAGAAGTGCGGAGATGTGGGCCAGGACACCAATTTTGCATTTTAAAAAAATTTCCAGGATAGCTATTCCACAGACCCCAAGAAGTTGAATACCTTCTGCAGGCCAATTAAAGGAAAGTTCTTTAAGTGGCTGATCTGAGCAACATTTTAACTAGTTGAGAGATGCCTTGCAGAACTTTCATTCCCTAAGCTTGCCAAATGAGCTGTGTATTGTGGGTTGAGTAAGGCTCCAAATGGGAATAGAGGGACTCAGTTCCTTGAGACGGGCAATATCAGCACCTCAGTATAAGTGCTCTGATAAACATACGATGCTGTTTTCTGTTGAGTCAGACCCTTGGTCCACCGAGGTCAGTATTATTTGCTCTGATTGGCAGCGGCTCCTTAGGGTCTCAGGCAGAGGAGGTCTTTCTTGTCACCTACTACTTCATCCTTTTAACTTGAGATGTCGAGGATTGAACCTGGGACCATCTGCAGACAATGCAGGTGCTCTGCCCCTGAACTATGATCCTTTTTCTGATATAAAACCAAAATTTATAATTAGTATCAATTTATGCTGGATAATGCAATGAAGTGTTTGTTAAGTGACAGGTTGAACAAATCTAGAGCTTTGTGTTTTGTTGAAGTGTGGTTTTAGAACCTGTGACTTTAGAAGGTTTCCGGTTGATTAAGAGGGGGATTAATGCAGTGTCTCGTTATATGTTTTCCTTTTAGTCCTGCGTTGTTTTTTAAAATCCTAGCAATACCCAGTAGCAAACATACACAGCTGTTTCACAGTGCACTCCTGTCTAGTTAAAGTTTTAGATAAAGTTATTCCTGAAAGTAACTTGAAATTTCTGGTAAGGGTGAGAAAGGACAGGAAGGTTAGTTAGAGTAAGAAAATGTAATCTTCTATAGGAAATGTAGAAATGTACCCTTTAAAAAAATCTCAACTGGATTTAGGAGAGAAGAATACAATACCTACAAACAGTGCATGAAAACTAGATTACAAAATCAGAGAACAATCCAATAAAAAGAGTGTAATGCATGCAATAAACAATACAATAAAGATGGATTATAGAATTAAAAAACAATGCAATAAAAACAGTACAGTGCCTGCAATAAACAATGCAATGACAGTTGCCTAAAACTTCCACAGACATTAAAACGGCAACTCTGTTCCCTTTATAAAAATGCCCTCCAGAGCAATTCAAGTTTACACATTCTGCAGAATGATAGGAAAGTGGCACCCTTCCTGACCACGTCAGGCAGGCCATTCCGCCAGGTAGGAGCCACAACAGAGAATGCTCGGGGTATGGGCAGCCGTGGGGTCTTGCCCATTTGCAGGGTGGCACCTTCAGAAGGCTTTACTCGGATGAATGAAGCTGCTGGAGCAGAACGTATCTGGGGATATGCAGCTATGGGAGGCCTAGGCCTTGAAACACTTCTGCTAATAACCAGAGCCTTGGATAGAACCTCGAAGCTAATTATTAACCAATAAAGCAATTGCAGAATAGATGTAATGTGCACATGCTGCCTAGCTCATGATAGTAATTGAGCTGCAGCATTTTGCACCAACTAGAGTTTCTAAGTTGTCTGCAAGGGCAGACCCATACAGCATGCATTACAATAGTTGAGCCTTGAGGTTACCCTGACGTGGATCCATATGGCCAGATAGTTTGGGTCACAATAGGGATCCATTCTCTGGGCTAAATGAAGATAGACGTAATCATGTATTGTAGGTGAATAAGCTTGAGTGTCCAGCAATAATGCTGCATCAAGTATGATCCCTAGACTGGATCGGTGAGGATCTACTGAAACCCCATTGAATGTGGGAAGCAAATGATCTTCCAAGACCTGAGACTTACTGACCAGCGTTACCTCCAGGATTGTCCTGTGAAGTAGATGCAATGACACCCTGTCTTCAGATTTAGAAACTAGGAAAACTTGGGAAATTTTATACCCCACAAAATGTTTTTGTAAATTTATTTTGTTTGTTTAATAATTAATAGATTTTTTTTTTGGCCTCAATGAGGGTAATGCCTGGCATTCACTTGGCCTGTTATCAGGGGATTAGTGGCGTGAAAGAACCACACAGTAGGCTTGATGAAAACAAGTAAGAAACAGGTTTATTTCAGTGGTATGCGTGGCTTGGTTGTCTCTTTGTTTTCCTTTTCTGCAGCCCTCTCAGTATTATAGTAATAAATGACTAGAGAGCTGGTGTTGAGAAAGTATAACAGTTCTTGAACTTGAAACAGAAAGGCTTTTAATTTTCAACTGTTTTTATAGGAACAGCACCCAAACCCTAATTATCAAAATACTGCAGGGCTATTTTTGGGCAGGAACGCACAGGAATGGAGTTCTGGCTGGCTTCAGAGTTGGCCACGCCCACTACAGTCAAAACCTCTGTGTGGGAGGGAAGGCCTGGGGAGCAACCCCCCCCCAGCAGCTCAAAGGTGGGTGGGTCAGGGGGGGCCTGGAAGGATTGGGGAGACATTTAAATGCTGGGCAAGCAAAGGGAAGGCATGGGGTGTGCCCTAATATGATAATGAACTGTGCTGTCAGGGGTGTGGCCTATTATGCTAATATGTTTCTGCTGTTGGGTGTGGCCTATTATGCTAATGAGTTCTTGCTGGGCTTTTTCTTCAACAAAAGCCCTGCTTAAGAGTCCCTAATGAACTCCCTGCCTAATGCTTCTGCCACCAAAATCCAAAAACCTTCAGCTCTGTCAGTTGGCCAGCAGTTAAACTGCCCAGCTCCTTTTTTTTTCCTCCCGGCATTCCATTTCACCATTTGAAAGTGATTGGCTGAGACTCCTTAAAGGTGGAACTTGAAACCATCCATCATAGCAGGTTAGGCTGAGAGTTATGCGACTAGCCCAAAGTCACCCAGTGAGCTTCATGGCAGGGTGGAGAATTCAGTCCAAGACTTCCAAATCCCACTTCAGCAGCCTAAGCAATAAACCCACCACACTGACTCCCATCACATTAACTGGGTGGACCTCAACCCATGTTTTGTTTACCTTGGTACTGTATTTTGTATACATTTGTTTAAAAGTGTATTTTTATAAACTGCTATAGCTCCCCATTGGGGAGAATAAATAAAATAAAATAAATAAAAAGTAGCTTAGGTTGAACCCTAGAGAATACCAGATACTCTTCTGTCTTAATGAAGAAAATTGGTAGTGATGGTCAGTCTCTTTTTTGAGGAAGGCTTGGAGCTGTTAACCAATTTCTCATTGAAGGAATCATTGGAAAACTTCCAAGGAACACTAGGACGTTCCAGAACACTGTTTGAATGTCACTGTTTAATGCCACTGTGTGCCACCTATAACACAATCAGTTGCAGGGGTACAGGATGGGATTTTAAAATGTTTTGAATCTCTTATGTGTCAATTTTGAATTAAGGCTACAGTGCTGGGTTATATTTTCTGAATCAAAGGTCCTGATGTTGACTGATATTTTTTCAGTTATACTCTCTTCTGCAAACTACTGAAAACCCAATAATGGAAGGTAATGGGCCAGCATGGTGTAGTGGTTAAGAGCAGCGGACTCTAATATGGAGAACCAGGTTTGATTCCCCACTCCTCCACCACATGAAGCCTGCTGGGTGACCTTGGGCCAGTCACAGGTCTCTCACAACTCTTTCAGCTCCACCTGCCTCACAAGGTGCCTGTTGTGGGGAGAGGAAGGGAAGGCAATTGTAAGCTGCTTTGAGAGAAAAACAGGATATAAAAACTTACTCCTCTTCTTCTTCTTCAGAGAGAGTACCACTCACTGAACTTTGTGAACAACCTGATCTGTGATTTTGGGGGAGCTATGCTCTAGTTCAGAATATCCATTACAAAATCATTATTAAAATATCTGAGGATCAGTCTTTCCTTTCCTGTTCATTTCCTCGCTGTAGCAGAAGGCTTTAAAAATTAATCGGCTGAAATGTCTCAGTGTTCTATTAAATTATTTCTGGGATAAGGTTTTATTTCCATTTCTACTAGTGAACATCTCCTCAGCCATCCCTTAGAGGGCAGCATTTCCCCCCACTGTATTTATTTGTTTGTTTGCTTCATATATATCTCGCCTTTCTACCCCATGGGGATCTAAAGCAGATTATATAATTCTCTTCTCTGTTTTATCATCACCACAGCTCTCTGAGCTAGGTGAGGCTGAAGGTGTGGCCTGAGGTCCCTCAGCAAGTTTCCATGGCGGAAGGGGGACAGATTTGAACCTGGGTCTCCCTGATCCTAGTCCAACACTCTAACCACTGGACCACACTGGGGGGGGGATTCAATATTTGACAGAGATTTGACACTGCGAATAAATGTACAATAAGGTATCTTTCTCTGCTTCTAATGGTTCTGTAAAGATGTTTTACAAGATAATTTATTGGTTAGAGTGACAGACAAAGGCCAGAAGGCTTTAAGTTCAAACTAATATATATATTAGCAATGGCAATCCACCTCTGCTCATCCCTTGCCTTGAAAACCCCTTGAGGGGTTGCCATAAGTTGGTCACGACTTGACGCCGCTCCATTATTATCTTTAACCCGCCCTGAGTCTCAGTGAGAAAGGAAAACAATAAATAATGTAATTAAAATAAAAGGAGAGCCATATATATATATATAAAATTAGATTTCTAGCCTGCCCTCCCTACACAGCAGGGCTCAGGGCGGGTTACAACAACATATACATCCAATTTAGAACAGTTAAAACATAATTACATAATATTAAAACCTGTATAAAACATCAGATGTTGTAACTCACAAAATGGTGATCAGGTACAAGTCAACAAGTGTTCCAAGAAAAACTATCTGTACGTGTGCCCCAGGATGAAACCAGACACTGGGCAAGTGGGCAAAAAGCCACAAACAGTAGCACAAATAAAATGGTGGGAAGCAGGGGTGGGGAGGCTGATGTAGTTAGACCTGCGCAACCTCAACCATAGGCCTGGTGGAACAGTTGCAGAATAGCAATGAGTTTCGCAGGGCCCTGACCTCACTTGGGAGAGTGCTCCAGCAGGCCGGAGCCAGAGCTGAAAAGACTCTAGTAAGAACATGAGAAGCCAATGTTGGATCAGGCCAATGGCTCATCCAGTCCAACACTCTGTCACACAGTGGCCAAAAATACCAGGTGCCATCAGGAGGTCCAGCAGTGGGGCCAGGACACTAGAAGCCCTCCCACTGTTGCCCCCCCCCCAAACACCAAGAATACAGAGCATCACTCTGGCTCTGGTTGAATCTAAGTGGATGTCCTTTGGGTCAGGGACCACCAGCAGATATTGATCTGTAGAGCATAAAGCTCTTTGAGGGACATACTTTGAGGAACACACTCTGTGACCTTGAGCCAATCTCTTTCAGCAGAACCTGTCTCACAGGGTGGTTGTGCTTATTGGATGTATCATTCTATTATTGCATTGATTTACATTGTATGGTCTGCCTTGAACAGCCTGAATAACCCTGATTGGCTCAGTTTCATCAGAGCTTGGAAGCCGAACAGGGCCAGATGGGAAGACCACCAAGGAAGAGTGGAGTTGCTACTCAGAGGAAAGCAATGGCAAGCCACCTCTGCTCATCCCTTGCCTTGAAAACCCCTTGAGGGGTTGCCATAAGTTGGTCACGACTTGACGCCGCTCCATTATTATCTTTAACCCGCCCTGAGTCTCAGTGAGAAAGGAAAACAATAAATAATGTAATTAAAATAACAGGAGAGCCATAAATGCCACCGTGAGCTCCTTGGAGGAACACTGGGATGAACTTGCAATAGGTGACTTGTCTCTTAAGTTATATGCTGCATAACATCCAAACACTTTTTCCAGATAGGACATTGACCCCAAGCATGAAAGAAGCCCACAGTTCTAACCAAATCCCCCCAAGCTAGGTTTTAGAGGAGGAGTTCTGGCTTGTCTCAGAGCTCAAATGGCCCATATAGCTTTTTGATGTTCTCCTAATTTTGCTAGTGCACCCCTGAATGACTCTCCTCTGACGATGTCTTTTTACCCAGTGGCAGACATTAATCTAGAGATACTGTTATAACAAAAAGGGCTTAGTAACACAATTTCACAGCCTTGTAAAAGCAAGCCTTCTTTTACTGATGATGTTACATAGTGACAAAGCTGTGCAGCAAGAGTTGGGTTTTTTTTGGGGGGGGGGAGAATGTTTTGTGTATTGTTTTGCAATGACTAAGTTTTTTATTTACTCACAGTTTAAACAATCTCTCAATGCGAACAGCTGTAAGCCGATGCTCTGTGGAAAGACTGTCACTGAGCTGTTTCCAGAGTATGACTGATTTTAGCGTGTTCAGAAACTTGAGTCGTGGCAGTAGGCCTTCAGCCAAAGAGGTCTCCGAACCCCCCCACACACACATAGAGCGCCAGTTGATCAAGATGTTGGTGGGAGGTGGGGGGAAGTGTTGGCCATAATCTGCAATTCAGCTTAGTTTCTCAGAGATCACAAAGTTCATAACTCTTTTCTGCTGAGACTGATACATC